GGTGGCCGCCGCCGCATTTGCGGTGGAGATGGTGGTTGTAACGGTGGTTGTGTTGGTGAGAGTAGTAGTAGATATCAGAAAAACATGAAAGAGAAAAAAGTGTAAGAATTATATTTTCTATGTGTATTACCGGTTGTACATTGAGATATATATATACAAGGATACATAAAGCCCTAGCTGACTATTCCGGAAACCCTAATTTGGTTTTCTTAATTACATACTCTATCATCCCCCCGCAATCGTAGCAGGATGAGGAATCATGCCTAGATTGGTTCTAAACAAATAGAATTTATCTTTAGCTAATGACTTGGTGAAGACATCTGCAAGTTGAGATTGTGTTGGGATATGACGAACAACAAGAAGACCAGCAGCAACTCTTTCACGAACAAAATGGATATCCAGCTCAATATGCTTTGTTCTGGCATGATTAACAGGATTGGCGGCAAGGTAGGTAGCAGAAATATTATCACACAGAATAACTGAAGATCTGGGAAGCTTGATGTGAAGCTCAGATAAAAGATTTTCTAACCAAACAACTTCAGATAAGGTAGTGGCAACGGCGCGGTACTCAGATTCAGCAGAAGATTGTCAAACAGTAGATTGCTTTTTGGAAGACCACGAGATCAATGATGAACCTAAAAAGACACAGAACCCAATGGTAGAACGTCTAGTTGTCGGACACCCAGCCCAATCAGCATCCGAATAAGCAAGAAGACGATCAAGAGAACCAGCACGGATATGAATACCATAGTGAAGGGTACCCTTAATATACCGTAGAATGCGCTTAACAGCCTGATAATGTTGCTCCCGAGGATCATGCATATGCTGACAGACAAGATTGACAGCATACTGAATGTTCGGTCTAGTGAACGTAAGGTATTGGAGGGCACCCACCAAACTTTGGTAGAGAGTCGGATTATGAAATGGAGGTGACTCATCAACAGAGAACTAAAAAGCCAGAGCAAGTGGAGTGGCAACATGATTAGCTTCAGTGAGATAACTGTGAGAAAGTAATTCCTCAGCATACTTGCATTGATGCAAAAACCAACCATTTGACTGGGGAGAAACCGAGAAATCCAAGAAGTAACTTATAGGGCCAAGATCAGTCATGGCAAAAACACCCTTCAGAGACTGAATAAGTCTGGTGAGAAGACGATCACTAGAGGCATGTCAGTGCCATGTCAGTGCCAGCAGTGTAAACAAACATAGAAGAATCCGAACGACTGCCTTTAAAACCCTGTGTGAGCAGGAAAGTAGTAAAGAGGTGAAACCAAGCTCGGTGGGCCTGCTTTAAGCCATAAAGAGCTTTGTTCAGGCGACAGACATAGTGAGGATGGTCTGGATGAACAAAGCCAGTAGGCTGTTTCATATAGACAACTTCATTTAAATGGCCATGCAAAAATGCATTTTTAACATCCAACTAATGGACGGGCCACTTACGAGATGCAGCAATACTTAAGATAGTCTGAATTGTTACTGGTTTAACCACATGACTGAATATTTGATCATAATCAAGCCCAGGTTTTTGATTATAACCCTGAGCAACCAAACGTGCTTTACAACGATCAAGGGATCCATTGAATTTGATTTTCACACGAAAGATCCATTTAGAACCAATGACATTCGCAGACATAGGTAGTGGGACTAAATCCCATGTATGATTAGACAGAAGGGCGTTGTATTTATCACTCATAGCGGCATGCCATTTAGGGTGTTTATTTGCTTTAGTGAAAGATTTTGGTTCTATGGGAAGAGAAGGAGAATTGGTAGTGGCAGTGAGGGAGAAAATCTGTTTGGATTTTCGTGTGCCATCCCGAGTACGGGTGACCATAGGATGTGAGGGAGCAATGGAGGATATAGGATCTGAAGGTTGAGTAGGAATGGAAACTTGGGTGGCAGAGATAGAATCTGAAACAGGAGTTTTGCTGGGAGAGGAGATAATCGGAGTTGGAAGGCATTTGGGAATGAGAAAGGAAGGATGTTTAAATGAGGGGGCTGAGGTAGGAAGAGGCTGAATCGAAGAGGATAGTGTAGGAAAAGGAAACAAAGTTTCATCAAAAATGACATGACGAGAAATGTAGACTTTTCGAGAGACTGGATCAAAGCAACGATAACCTTATATGATTCTGGATAACCAAGAAACACACAAGGAACTGAACGAGGACTAAGTTTATGAGATGCTAAATGAGAGAGATTTAGAAAACAAGAGCAACCAAAAACCCTAAGTACCCCATAATTAGGTGGATGGCCAAAGAGAAGTGAGAAAGGGACAACTCCGAACTTAGATGTAGTAGGCAGCCGGTTTAAGAGATAAACACAAGTGGTTAATGCTTCAACCCAGAATTCATTTGGTAATTGGGCTTGATGAAGAAGAGTACGGACCATTTTAAGAATAGTTTTATTCATCCGTTCAGCCTTCCCATTTTGTTGGGGAGTGTATGGACAAGAGACTCGCATTGCGACCCCTTTTGATTTAAGAAAGGTTTCAAGAGATTGAGAACGACCATATTCAGCAGCACCATCTGATTGAAGTATTTTAATAGAAGAGTAGAATTGAGTTTGAACAAGATTATAAAATTCAACAAACTTTCGAGGAACTTCAGATTTATTTTTGAGAGGATACACCCATAGGTAATGAGTAAAATCATCTAGAAATAGAACAAAATATTTAAAACCACTAAAGGAAAGACAATGAGAAGTCCAGACATCAGTATGAATAATATCAAAAGGACTATAAGCGACAGACGATGAAGACTGAAAAGGAAGCTTATGATGCTTTCCAATTTGACATGCTTGATACAGGTAAAGCTTATTGGACAAAACCACCGAACTAGGAAGACTATGACGGGACACACTAAGCTGGACAAGACAGAAGAGTGCGGGTGACCAAGACGTTGATGCCACACTTGGGAAGACACTGGAGCAGCAAACGCCGGACATGACAAGGAAGATGGTGCAAGAGACTGATGTGGCAAGGTAGAAGGAAAGGTATAAAGGGACCCAGTGCTATTGCAGCGTAGACGAGGGGTCCTCGTCCAGAGATCCTTCACAGAAAAACCAAAAGGATCAAATTCAACGGAACATTGATTTTCAGTAGCAAATTGATGAACAGAGATAAAGATTTTTCGTAATAGAAGGAACACAATAAACGCGAGGAAATTGAAACGAAGAACAAGAAATAGTGCCAACAGATTTAATGGGCAACGTATTACCATTACCAATCACAACCCTAGTAGATCCATTATAAGGCTTTGAATTGGAGGGAATACCTTGAGTGGGAGTCATAGTGTTACCACAAGCGGTATCCATATATTAGGATGAATCCACGGATGGAGGAGCAGGAGGTCGATTATATTGATCGACAAAGTAAGCGGGTTGCCGAAATTGGAAGCATTCTCTAGCAGAGTGATTCGCTTGATTGCATAATTGACAGCGAATAGCAAGTTGTCCTGGCTGAAAAGAGGGAGCTGGACCAAGAAGTGAAGGAGCACGGTTTCTGGGAGAAAACATAGGAGGCTGAAAATTAGAGTAAGCAGGATAAAAAGAATTATACTGACCAGATTGATTTCGGCCACGTCCGCGACCGCCGCGCCCCTGAAAATTCTGGAACCTGCCTCGACCGCGACCATGATTGTTGGTGAAAGATTGAGAGGCGGCTGAAGTAGGAAGGGATTTAGTTGAAGAAGCCGCAACTAATGCCGGAGTTGCCGCGGGAAGAGTAGCAGGGATGTTATTCTGTAGTTGCACTTCGTGCAAGAAAAGCATGGAGCGAGCTTCAACAAAATTAGGCAACGGGACTTTGTGACTAATCGTGGTCGAGACAGATTGATATTCAGAAGGAAGGCCAGCAAGAATTCCCTGTTGGGACTTTGTGACTTTTTTTTGTTTGTTTGTTGTTTCTTTTTTTTTTTTTGTTGGTGTTGGCGGCGGCAAAACAGGAGGAAGCAGCGGTGGAAGAGCTAGAAGGGAGAAGAGAGGCGGCTGTTTGAGGTGCCTGTTTTTTTTTTTTTTTCGGGAGACAGTAAACAGAGAAGAGAAGTTGGCGGCCCAGGAAAGAAGCTCTAATACCATGTAAGAATTATATTTTCTGTGTGTATTACCGGTTGTACATTGAGATATATATATACAAGGATATATAAAACCCTAACCGACTATTCTAGAAACTCTAATTTGGTTTCCTTAATTATATACTCTATCAAAAAGCACCAAAGGGAGGGTTAGGAATAGCAAAGTTTGAAGAGATTAGAATGATGGAGAAAGAGAAGAAAAAAGGGTTAGTTTTGATGTCGCCAAATCGTTGTGATCATATTACTAACAATTCCTCCTCCACTTCATCCCTTCTCCAAAAACCACCATCATCTCCTCCTAGTCCCCATCTTCCTTCACCAATTTCTCTGTTCAGAAGAAAAACAATCCCCCCACCACAAAATTTTGCATGTTCGAATTCTAATCTTGTTGGTTTGCCTAAATCATGGAATTCGAGATATGGTCAAATAGGTGCTTGTTCAGGGATGTTGGAAGTTGGCCTAAAGTTTGTGGTAGTGGTGAATTTGGTTAGGATAATGAAGGCGTATTTGGTCTGGATCAACGTCAACCTAATAATAATCATCCTGGATTTGATTGTGGGTCTAGTAGTTTTGATTTTCTTCCTGCCCCAAATCCGTTGCAAAGATGTCAGTGATTCCCGCAACAATGTTCAGCTTCATTATCCAGGGCGGTGAATAATAGTATTTCATCAGGGATTCCAATTTCACCATCATCTGTTCTCAACTTTCAGGCGGAGCCGACTTTTAACCAATCTTTATGGGCAGAAGAGAAGAAGATGGCCGTTGGCGTGAAGAGACCATACCCGTTTGCAATGCAAACTCCACCAGCCCCGGCGTCTGACTTCAAATATACTCCCCGCTGTTGCTTTTTTTGTGTACCAAAATCAGAAAAATCAACTCCTTTCAGGAACAACGCTAGCACCCGAGCAATCATTATACCCATCGGGGAAGCTATCACGTCATCAGAGAAGAAGGCCATTTGAGAAGATCAACTGTCATTTCAGAACCACACCACTCAGAATTGAAATTGACAGAAAACATAATGATGAATGGAGATTTTCTCAACCTGGCACCTCCTCCTACAGCTGCTGCTTCCACTCCTTTGAGTTCTGAATATGCTGTGGCTAATTCTGGTTCCATGAGTCAATTCGACGGCAGCAATGGCATCATCCATCTTCAGCAGGGTCCTCCTTCTGAATCATCAATCCAGCAACCTTTGTTGAAGTTATTCCCTGAAGCCGCCGACAACGAGAATGGCCAACAAGCTGCGCAGCGCACTTCATACAAGCCCGAGGGTAAAGTTGGAGATAATGTTGATCTCATGCACTACAAAAAAACAGTTCAGTACACACGGACCAATGTCGTGGGTAATATGCCTATGCGGCCGTGGGTAAATAAAATTACCCATAACTTTCTCATGGAAAAAATACGTCGATAATATGCCCGTGGGGAAGCATCTCCCACGGAAGTTAACAATTTTGTGGGTAATTCACCCACAACAACAATATGTGGGAGAGTTCGTGGGAGAATCGACTCTTCATTCCCACAATTCAAGAGAATCACCCACGGATTCCGTGGGTAAAATAAAAATCTTATTTATTTCAATTTATAATATTACCCATGGCTGTCGTGGGTAAAATGAAATTTAATTTTTTAATAATACATTTACCCACGAAGACATCTGTGTGGAAATTACTGAATCTGAAAAAAAATACCCACAACTCTCAGTGGGTAAATTACTGAATTTGCTAAAGTGTTGTCGTGGGTAATATTTTTTTTTCTACTGTAATATTTATTTATATTTTACCCCCTAATGTTTATATTTATATCAAATCCAGTCCAACAAATCAAATACCAAATGTTAATTCAGCCATTAAATCGAATATTTCAAAACGCATTCAACAATGTTGTAAAGAACAATACAATCCAATCCACAAACATTCAAACCATTGTCAAATTACGAAAAAAAATTCATTTTCAAAATGAAAATCCTAACCAACACACATCCTATATTGATAAACGCTAATCAACCTAGATTGTGGTTTTCTTCATCCTCAGAACTTCCATCCCAATCACTTAAATCAAAACCTGCTTGATCATTTCACCCTTTCAATCCTTGAAGAGTTTGATTATCCTCAACACCAAGATCTAGGAATGGAGCACCATTTTGCTTGCACCACATCTCCATTGATTTCTGCCACTTCTCCATCATAGTTTGCATCTTTTCCATTTTTTATGCATAAGCATCAACCTTGCTAGTCAATTCCTAAACATGCTTCTTGCTTTGTACCGCCACATCTGAATGTGCAGATTTTCCTGCACCCAAGGAATAATAAGAGCCTGCTTGAGAGCCAAGGCCATATACTCTTCCCTTCTTCTCACCTCCAACAACATGGAGATATAGAGCATCTTCATCCAGCTCACGTTCAGGCTCTGAGTCTTCAGCAAGAGCCCGAATAACCCTATCCTTAATCCTAATATACTTGGCCTATGTTCATGCAAGGCACAAAAAGAAGGTAAGAAACTTATTCATAGTTGGTAGACAGCAAAGTTGGGAATGGATGAATGAAATATCGTAAGTATATAATTTCCAGTAGAAGGGTTATAGTTTCATATGCGATAAAAAAGATAAGTGATTACAGGTGAAAATAGACAAGATCAGAGCATTTGGAGTTCCCAGAAAGAAAGGGCAGAATGAAAAGCAACAATTTGACTAATTATCAGTCCCTAAAACACTTGTACAAGACTACTTACATATATATAAATCAAATATGAAGACTTTGCTGAAGTCAAAAAGGCTATCCAATATAAAAGGAACTTCATCACATGACCAAAATCAACAAATCACGTAAACAGCAAATCACACATAATGAGACAATCTCGATAAAAATATCCATATATATGCATCGACAAATTCGCATAGAATAAACTGAATGCATCAAATTAAAGGGGCACATGAAATCCAGTAAGCAAAATCCAGTAGGCATATATAAAGGGGCACATTGGAGTCGAAGATTAAATGTTTCAAGTGTTCAACAAAACTTACATGAACTTTTTTAGCATTGGAATCAATGAAGGTCTTGAAATCATGCCGAATGGTATGAGTGTATGCGAATACTTCATACGGCAAAGGCTTGTGACCAAGAATACATTCCTGCCAATAATTACACACATTTCAAACATAGCATTGTACTGATCACCATTCAAGGAATGAAAAAATTCAGTAAAGGGAGAGATGAAACAAACCTCTGAACCAACACTCAAAATCAGTTTTATAGTATTTAAGAAAACACCAACTAAAACAAAAATACTCAGGTTCGGTAAAGTGTTAGGAGAAAATCTTACCAGCCTTCCCATATGCTCCACAAATGAGACTAAACCTCCAGTATGATGCACTGGTCTCTTCTTGCTGCTTTTATGGTTTTTTGCATTCCTTCTTCTTACTTTCTGAAAAGACTCAGTCTCCCAATGTTGTTTAAAACTAGCCCACACATCTTCCTGAATAAAACCTGGCTGTTCATCCCATTCTCTCAGATCCCTTGTGAGGTCACGGTAACGGTTTGCTGCTAATGAAGACCATGCCGCTTTTATCTGGCCTTCCATTTCAGGATCCCATGTAAAAGATTTCTACAAAATAGTCTAAGTATTAGTACAGATATTTAATTAATCTCAGCTTTCAGAATCAGTTAGTTTCTAATCATTAAATTACTCAGATTTCATAGTCAATCATCTTCTAATCATTAACTACTCGGATTTCAAATTTAGTGACCTTCTATTCACCATAATCATGCATGCTACTACAGGCACACACAAATGTATAAAACAGAAAAGAAAACTTTATACAAGTAAAGTTCATAAACTGACCTTGAATTCATTCCAATAGAAATCTTTCATTTCTTGGCTCACAAGTGACCAAGAGTATGCTTCGACCTCCAACCGATCCTCTAACTTGTTTCTGATTTTTCTTGCACACTCACTCTGTAAACTTAACCTAATACAAATTCAACAAAAATGTATAAGAAAAAGCCATTTCATATAACCACTTCCTGAACAGAATGTGAGAATACTTACACATCTCCAATAGCATGAATCTCCCTAGGTCCAGATTTCTGTTTTCTGATTGTATTCTCAGCGTAGTACCTTGCGAACTTCCCACCCCACGAGTTCATGTAAAATTCTGGATTCTACTTCCCAAACTTGTCTCCGAACTTGGAGATTCGCGGTCTGAATTTCCCAAGGGACATAATCAAGGAACTTGTTCTTTAGTACGATTACAACCCGTATTTTGGCTTGGGCATGAATTTTGGGGTGAATCCTGAACTGAACCAGCTGCATGATTTACATTTGGAATGTGAGTTGAACTGTGATTTCCTTGATTGTGACTTTGTTTTCCTGAAGAGTCATTCTCAGTACTTGCTCCATCATTTTTGCTTGAATATGGTGCTAGGCTCTCAGTTGAATTTGGTGGAGTGGCTTGCTTCTGAAATGGAGTAGCCTGTTCTGGAACCCCCTCGGTCCTTAGGTTTTCTGCTGCATGTTTCTCACTCTGGTTTGATATTCCGGCATTTTTCCTTTTTGATTAGCGTGCTGACTTTGTTCTTTTCTGAACCGGGGTTTGATTTTTTGGTGCAGGCTCAGAAATTGGAGTTGTTTGATTTCCACCAATAGTGCTCACAGCTGCAGTTGATGAAATTGGCGTATCCTGAATTGGTGTGAGAGCCTGCTTTGCCTTTGAATGGAGAAGCGACTTTCTTGATCTTGATAGATGGTTATGATCTGGTCCGGATTCACTACCTGCAGCATTATGATCTACTCCCCCTTCACCACCTGCAGATGCAACCGCTGTAGCTTCAATGACTGGAGGGTTCTGGATTACAACAATTTGCCTTAAAATATTGAGTGGCACAAGTTTAACATCTGCAGCTTCAGAATGGAATGCCTTAGCATAGTTTCTTTTGGACGATCGAAGCAATTCCTTCCTTTGGCAGCAAGAATTTAGCCTTGGCTCTTCCTGATTGACAGCAACAACAGTATTTGCAACAGCAACTTGGCGGTAGAGTAGTTGCCATTTCTTCTTCCTCCATTGAGGTTGTTGCTGCAGATTCTTCCACTTGAGTCCATCTGCTATCAATCTTCCTTCCATAGGAGGGATTTCTTCACTTGCTTCAGCTCTGATCGATCTTCCAATAGCTCATTTTCCAACAGCTTCCATTCCAGTCCATTTAAATGTCTTTTTTTTGTCCAATTCGACCCTCATTTATGCTGATTTTCTATATTGGCCCTCTGAGATTCCTAAACTTCAAAATTACCCCAAAAGTAAACTAATCCTAACTAATTGACACTAAATTATAAGTAGAAATGAGTAAGAAATGCCTGCTAAAAGGGTATATGTTTTTATGTTATCAACACACCGCCCCCCATAGTATGGAAACTGGCCATGCCCGAAGTTTTAACCTTAACCACAATGAAGGGGTGTGAAAGACGCCTTTCTCAGTTTTAGGAAAAAATGAGTACATAAGAATCATCATTAGGACTATCAATAAATAGCGGATTGACATAGCTAAATTCGCTTCAGTCATTTTGTATAGAACAAAAGCCAAGGCCTCAGTTATGATATACTTCATAGGGAATTTTTACTAGTTAAAGTAACGTTTGGCCTAACCCGTGAGATATAGAAAAGGAGGAATTTGGCAATCAAGCTCCTAGACAGTAATGAGTATCATCCACAGTATATGTTAGGGACTGAAGGGTAACTTCAGTGTCATGAATGTTACATAGATGGAATTCGATAGGCAAGCGATCATCATTCTCTTTACGGAATTTCACGATATCTTGACCGATGTTATCATATTAGGAGATCGATGAAAAGGTATTCGTGATGCTGTAGTGACACTTCATGATGTCTCGACTCATATTATATATGCTTACCAGGGATGTAGACAATGAAGATCTGGATGGTTCATCAACACAGTTTGATCATAAGCCACCTTGAAGGAAGTTTTCAACAACATAAAATTGTACAGTTGTAAATCATAAGGACTTAATTGTAAATATCATTATACCTGTAAATAATACGTCTGGAATACTTGTTAGTTAGGTGACATGGCAGGTTAGAAAGTATATACGTGATTAGCACACTCAGTATAGCTGGAATATTGAGTATAATACCTGTATATACAGACTTGTAAAGTTGACGAAATACAATATGCCAATTCAAGAAAGTAAAGTTGTTCTTCGATCCATAATCTCAAATTCAAGATGGTACCAGAGCAGGAATAATCCTGCTTGGATAGCCATAGAATCACCACCAAGCTTCCGTTTCTAATTTTTGGCCCAAGATTGACGGAAATTATGGCAACAATACCAGAAGATCAAGAGATCAAATGAAGAGGAGAAACACAAAATCGACGGCGAAAGTATGATGCTATCAACTTTGGTGGATACAATCACCCACTCATACTACTTGCCTCTGATAATTCAACTTTAACTCCGATCAACATCCAGCTTAAATATTACAATTATGTTGCCTAGAGTTACACAATGCACAGAGCTCTTGGTTCGCAAAACAAATTAGGATTCATCACAAGGAGTTATGGCAGACCTAATCCTCGCAGTCCTGAATTTGAGCAGTGGGTAAGAGTAAACGATACGGAGGTAGTATGGATTCTTAACTCAATTTCACCAGGACTTGTTGAAAACTATACTCTGGCAGAAACGGCATCAGAACTTTGGGAAGAGTTGAAATACAAGCATGGAACTAAGAACGGTCCGTAGATTTATCACCTTCGAAGAGAGATCTGCACAATTGCTCAAGGAAATGATGGCGTCTTATTATTCAAGAATCAAGAGACTACGGGATGAACTGAATGTTCTGGATCCGGCCGAGGAATGTGAATGTGGTCTTTGTACTTGTCATTTCAAGATAGGTGGAGCTAGGGATGGTAAGAACAGACTTTACCAATTTCTGACTGGTCTAAATGATTGTTATTCTGCTGTTGGAAATCAAATTCTTCTGATGGAGCCAATGCCAAATGTGAAGAAAGCCTATTCTATGGTGTTGACAGTTGAGAAGCAGACTCAGGTCAGTGTGATTTCCAACAATGTGACAGATCAAAGTGCTATGAAGTTCCTGCAATTTGAAGGTAATTCTATAGACTCAGCTATGTTTACAGGTATAAGTTCAACAAAACCGCTAGGGAAAATGATTTTAGGAGAGATAAGGCTCCGAAGAAACTTTTATTCTGTGATCATTGTAATATGAATGGACATGTTAAGGATTCATGTTTTCGGATCATTGGTTATCCTGAGTGGTCGAATGATAACCATATGGAAGGTAAGAAGCCACAACCACAATTTCAAAGATCAAACAATCATTCAACCAACCTAGTGGATGTTAATGCAGAACAGCAAGCAATGGGCTCCAATGATGATAATACAGATATACAAACTCTTATGAATGCTTGATAAAGTTACAACAGGATATGGGAAGGCTAATGAAAGGCAAGCAACCAGCTGAAGGGAGTTTTGATTGGGTGAATTTTGCTCATTATCATGACTTTGCAGGTATGAGCACTTTCACTGCCTTAAATTCTTTGAGTTTTGAAGAGAAATTGGTGTTAATTACTATTTGGTTTTTAGACACAGGAGCTACTAGTCGTATGAGTTACCTTTTGAGCCTGTTTGCATCTTTTAATCTCGTTTCAGAGTAAGCACCAGTTAGTTTACCAGATGGAAGTATGAAAAGTGTAGATCACATAGGCACAATTAACCTTTGCAACAATTTGCAACTCATGGACTTTTTGCACATTCCATTGTTCAAATATAACCTGATTTCAGTCAGTAAATTAGCCACTGCCTCTAAAATTGACTGTTTGTTCTCAACAAACTTCTGCTTGTTGCAGGACCAAATGACAAGAAAGCTTCTTGCAGTTGGAAAAGTTGTGAACAAGTTGTATGTTTTGGACCACAAATCATTTTCACAAGAGACTATATTGAGTTTCATGCAAGTTCATGTGAATCATCCATTTGTTTTGTATCTCAATCATAGGAAATGTTTCTTATCCAATACTAAATGTAATAATGCCATTTGGCATTAGAGATTAGGTTATGTACCTGATTTAACCATCAAGCATCTAGGATTGATTAATGTGAATGATGGTTTTACTTCAAAACAGTGTAATATTTGCCCTTTGGCTAAATAACAAAGAATAAAGTTTCCTACTAGTTCTATTCAGTCTTTGTCAATTTTTGATCTTGTTCATATTGACATTTGGGGTCCTCATTCCCAGTAATCCCTTAGTGGAGCACACTATTTTAACTCTAGTTTATGATTATAGCCGTTCCAGTTGGACTTACCTTATGTAATATAAGTCACAAATAGTTTCCATTTTAGCAGATTACTTGAAAATGGTCCAAACACAGTTTGGTAAAACAGTGAAAGCCATTAGAACCGATAATGGTTCAGAATTCCTCAGCTTTGAATGCCAGAACTCTTAAAAGGTTTTGGCATCTTACATCAAAGATCTTGTGTTTATAGACCACAACAAAATAGTGTTGTGGAGCGTAAACATAAGCATCTCCTAGAGGTTTCTAGATCCTTAATATTACATTCAAGTCTTCCAAAACATTTTTGAGGGGAAGCCTTGTTAACAACTACGTACCTCATAAATGGAATCCCTTAACCTCCTTTAAAGTGGAAGACTCCTTATCACCTTTTATTCTCCAAAGATCCAGATTTTCATCATCTTAAAGTGTTCGTATGCTTATGCTTTGCAACCAATACTTATCCAAATAAAACAAAATTTGATCCTAGGGCCCTCAGGTAAGTTTTTACTGGATATGCTCAGGGCCAAAAGGCTTACAAATTGTATGATTTAGACTCCAAGAAAGGTTTTGTTTGAAGGGATGTAATTTTCATGAAAGTACATTTCCTTTCTCACAGAAGGATACACCTTCTCAGATATCAAATAAGCCACAATTTGGTTCTGAATATGATCACTTTCCTCTTCTAACTGATGATCCTTTCTTACATTCTGAGCATCATTCACCTCCACAGGATCATTTTACTTGCACTAATCCACTTACTGATAATACTTATCCTTCTCATTCTTCTGATGATTAGCATATACCCATCAACCATTCTTCTGATAGTACAACCCAATCATTACCTCCTCTAGATATTGTATCTGATCCTCCAGTTTCTACTACACTTATCCCACTCAGGAAAAGTAATAGGGTCAGACATACTCCCAAATGGATGAATGAATATGTACCTGAAAAAACATTGTCTATTCACAGTTATACTGATCCAATGCATGAGTTTTCACAATTCACACCCCACAGTTTTCCTTTTTATCCACTTACCAATTGTACAGTAGCTCATGTGTCTTTTCTAGCCAAAGTAGACAGCATCACAGAACCAGCAAACTGTACAGAAGCAAATCAGCATCCAGGTTGGCTTCAAGCTATGAAAACTAAGATTGATGCCTTGTAGACTAATCAGACCAAGGAACTCACCAATTTACCTCTTGGAAAGAAACCCAATGGCTGTAAATGGGTGTTCAAGGTCAAGTATTGTTCAGATGGTAATATAGAAAGACTCAACACAAGATTGGTTGCAAGAGAATAGAACCAGATTGAGGGAGAAGACTTTTATGATAGTTTCTCCCTAGTTGCAAGAATAGTGACTGTCAGGCTACTTCTACAGTAGCAACATCAAAAAGGTGGTTCATTCATCAATTGGACATCAACAATGCGTTTTTACATGGCTATTTGGAAGAAAAAGTCTACATGTTACCCCTAGAAGGATACAACAAGGCTTCTCCAGGTGAAGTTTGCAAACTCAACCGGTCTTTATATGGTCTAAAACAGGTTTCTAGACAATGGAATGTTGAATTTTGTTCCAGAATTCAAAATCTTAGTTTTCATCAGTCACTTCATGATCCTTGTCTCTTCATTAAAGATTACAATGGTGAGTTTCTTGCCTTGCTGGTTTATGTAGATGACATCTTGATCACAGGACCTGATGAACAAGCCATTCTGTCAGTAAAGAAGCCTTTGGATGTAGCTTTTACCGTATAAGACTTGGGCAATGCAAAACACTTTCTGGGAATTGAAATCACAAGATCCAACAAAGGTCTGTATCTAAATCAAAGGAAATATATCTTAGATTTCATTCAATCAGCTGGTCTTTTGGGATGTAAACCTACCACTACTCTACTTCCCAAGGGCCGTCAATTCAGTGATCAGCCAGGGTTACCTATTGAAGAATCTGCCAATTATAGGAAAATAGTAGGCCAATTACTCTATCTCAGCTTCATCAGGCTAGACATTCAGTTTGCAGTCCAGCAGTTAAGTACGTATGTACATAAACCTTGTAAAGATCACTGGAATGCTATGGTTCATGTGATGAAATAACTTAAAGGAACTCCTTCCCATGTTCTTTTCTATGGTGTTCAGAACACTCCTCAACTGACAGCATACAGTGATGTTGATTGGAATTCAGATCCAGTTGACAGGAAATCTATATCAGATTTTTGTATCTTGTTTGGTTCTTCCCTTGTTTCATGGAAAACTAAACAACAAGGGACTGTCTCATGCTCCTCAGTTGAAGCAGAATAGCGGAGTACGAGCTTTACCACCAGAGAAATGATGTGGCTGGCCTATCTTCTTCATGATCTTCATGTGCCATTGTAGTTAGCAATACCTCTGATGTGTGATAACCAGGCTGCAATGTATATAACTAAGAATCCCGTCTTTCATGAACGAATAAAGCAATTAGAGGTTGATTGCCATTTTGTTCGCCATCAGTTCCAGCAAGGATTCTTAGTCCCTCTCCATGTTGCTTCTCAGGATCAAGTGGCAGATATTTTCACTAAGTCACTGCCCTTCCCTCTCTTCACAAAGATGTTGTCCAAGCTTGGCTTGAAGAGTACTTTTCAAGCATCAGCTTGCGGAGGGAATGTAGACAATGAAGATCAGGATGGTTCATCAACACAGTTTGATCATAAGCCACCTTGAAGGAAATTTTCAGCAGCATAAAATTGTGCAGTTGTAAATCATTAGGACTTAGTTGTAAATATCATTATACTTGTAAATAATACGTCCGGAATATTTGTTAGTTAGCTGACGTGGCTAGTTAGTTAGTATATACGCGATGAGCATGCTTAGTATAGCTGGAATACTTAGTATATATACCTGTATATACAGAGCTGTAAAGTTGACGAAAGACAATATACCAATTCAACAAAGTAAAGTCGTTCTTGACTCCAAATTGACAAACACTAGTTCTTGAATCCGATTCTTTGATCCATAATCTCAAATTCAAGAGGGGGGAATGGTGCTCCTTGTTAGGATAAAACTTCTCACCAAATTATAGGCATTACAGAACCCTTTCCAGTTAGATCCCAGTTTAGGGGATTAATCGGTGGTATAAGAATAACTAAGTTCTAAAGATGCTTCATGGAAGTTTAATGCATATTCATCCTCTTTACCATATCTCGAAGAGGCGTGATTCAAATGACTAGGGGAACGGTTGTCATACATCTGATGTTTCAAACGAATAGTTCTTCCGCCTTAATAAAATAAAAGGTTTGGTTTAAAACAACGAACCCTGGTTTCGTCAATGAAAGACCATATAATCCAACTAAAGTAAATGCAAACTTCTGTAAGAAAACATCTGAGCACACGAGATTAACACTCTGATTATGAAGTCCGCTCAAGCTGTGGTGCCAGTTGCGGAGTCAGGGACCAGTAAGGGTGGTTGCTCCCCTTTCTGGTTTTTTTTTTTCCCTAGTAAAGGAGTGTTTGATTTTTCGGTTCAAATTTTGAAAAAATTATAATTGTACGCTTGCTAAATGAAAATTGTATCATTTTGCTAAAGTATTTTTGAATTTGTCACTGATTGCTGCAATTTTAAAAGAGTACAGGTCCCCTTCCTCATTCTTTTTTTTTTTTTTTTTACTAAAAGAGGGTGTGATGTTTCGGTACAAAAGTTAAAAAAAATAAAATTTTACTTTTGCTAAACGAAAAATGTATCATTATGCTTATGTATTTTTGAATTTCTGTCTCCATATTGCTGCGATTTAAAAGAGTACAGTAATGGACATGAGATATTGACCTTTAATGTACTTTGGAGTGCCTGGATAGTTTCTTAAGTATACAATGAAAGAGTAAGGCCGAAATTATACTACCAACTAAGATATTTTCATAATAAAAGCACCAATAACATTATGTTCTAACTGAAATAGTAGGCGAATGATAGATAGTTACTTACGTCTTAGTCCTTTTGTCGATTTCAGCAATTGATGAAAATACCACTACGGTATCAATGGGATAGCTTCCTCAACACATCTGTTCATTCATAAAACAACAAATTTGTTTCCCCAATCAATACTTTTCCTTTTTCACATCCTTCTTTTTCGGGTTTTTTTTTGTTTTCCTTTTTTTATTAAAAATTTATAATTTATCACACATATTAAATATAATACTCTCCTTCTATCCAAAGATATAGTTCCACATTGAGTTTTTTTTGATTTGTACTAGTTTTAGTACAAATTTAAAAATTTAACGTGGATTATTTTGTTAGGATAGAGGCAGTACATCATTAAAGGATATTCTAGACGCTTTTGTTTACATTAGTGGTTGGAGTCAGGATCTAAGAATAAAGAGGAAAATATATAGAAAAATGTAGCAAATGGCGAAAAAAAAAATATATAAAGGTATATCATCAAAAAAAATAAGGGAGGCCCGCCACTCTTATACAATCCATCATTTACAAATAATAGTCATAATTTGTAATGACAACCAATCCTTTTTAGGCAATTCCCTTTTTTTTTTCTGGGTACAAATCCTTTTGGTAACTTTCAAATCATTATTTGCACATTAATTTTTCCCCTAAAATTATTAAGAAAGTTGGGGATGTCGGCCGCAAGGTCTTATTAAACTAAAAGTATTTTTTATTGGTTATTCGCGTTAGTGATTATCCCATTATTTTTAATTATATTTTTCCTCCAATGTAATTCACGTTAAACTGTGAAAAAAAGAAAAAGCATGATGAACTAGTTTATTTATTTTCTACGCGTGAATTATTGTAAATATCTCTGATTTCTTAATGTCCGGGTTGGGGGATGTATTTTCAGACACAATAATAGCTGGTCGCTGGATGTGAAACAAATCGAAGTTCCCAGATTCTATTCTTCAGAAAAACAAGGGATATTTACTTGTATTTAATGTTGGAATTGAAGGCTTTGTGATGAGTTGCCTGTTTTAAGTCTAATTAACCTCCGAGATTTTATGCAGTCTATAAAATAACATGAAGTTTTCAGTCTCCGTCTTCCTCCTATTCCCGCGTTTTTAAATTTGCTTAGATTACACAATTTGATTTGCTTTCCGTTTTTAAACCCTCCATGAATTGGGTTCCCATTAAGATTTTCTCTTACGTCTCTCAGGATTGTGTGGCGATGTTGGAGCTGATGAACAGAAATTATGGTCCTGTCTTTGTGGGTTTTCCTTACAAATGATCATAATTACTCTCCCCAATCGTGTGTGTATATACATATACATATATACATATATACATATATATATACATATATATATATACATATATATGTATATATGTAGCGACAGGAGAAAAGTAGTATTAGAAACTATCAAAATGATGAAAGAGAAGAAAGTAGCAAGAAGAGGTTTAGGCGTAGCCATGCTTGAAAAGATTAGAATTGAGGAAGAGAACAGAAAAGGTTTACTTTTGTTGTCCCCACCAAATCATAGCTGTTTTACTTCCCCTTGTTTCGCCACTTTGCAACAGCCAAATTCTTTGTTCAGACAACAACAATCCCACCACCAAATTTTGATCCATTGAATCCTAACCTAGTTCATTTCCCTAAGTTCTTTAATATGGGATATGGTCATGTTTGTGATGGTGCAAAAAGGCCTAATGTGCGGAGAAATGGTGAATTTGGTTTCGATTTTGCAATCCCAAATGGTTTGCAAACTAGATCTCAGCGATTTCCGCAACCACCTTCTTTTTCATCTATGACGAAGATGGCCGGCGCCGGCGTGAAGAGATCACACCCGTTTGGTATGGAATCTCTGCCAGCACCAGCAATGAAGTTTAAGCGTACTCCCGTTTTCTGCGATATCAGAGGAGAAGATCCTTCAAAATCAACTGCTCCATCGGAACCGAACCGCTATGAGGTAAAGTCAACAGAAAACATGCGGCTAACTGGTGATTTTCTCAAGCTGGCTCCTCCTGCAACTCATTTGGGCTCACAACCATCTGCGTTTGCTGAATCTAGTTTCGGAAGTCGTTTCGATGACAAAGGAACTATCCATGGGCAGCCACCTTTACTTAGCCTTTTTCCAGCACCAAATAAGGAGATTGTCCAAAATGATCAAAACTCTTCATATAGCCGGAAAGGTAATATGGAAGAAAAAGTTGATCTCAGATTGAAGCTTTAAATGGTAGTGGTGATACAAATAAGTTGAATATTCTTTTTCAAAAAATAAAAACTTGAATAATAATTGTTATTTTCAATAATTGTTTCCTTTTCTTGTTAAGAGTTAATTTTTTAGGCATTGTTCTTTTTTCTTTGTTATATCAATGTCGGCAAGGTTACAAGCGAGACTACAGATATCATTATTTTGATTGTACTTCGGTTTATCTAATCATGTGAAATTCCTGTACTTGATTAATTAATTATCCGACAGTGGATACGAAGAAATGTACATAAAAAAGCAAAAATACTAATACCTTAACAGTTTACGAATATATATACCATCACATGAACATATAGTTACAATTAAATAAAAATTCAGTAATATATTACTCTTCCATCCCAAAAAAAATAGTACACATTGTATTTTGAGTTTTGTATAAAGAAAAATATTATATTTTAGACACGGAGTAATATTTTCATTACGGTCAATCCTTATGATTAATGCGGAAGGAAATTAAGTAAATAGGGGAAAAAAATAGACAACAATGCTGAAAGGAGGACTTGAACTATCTATTCTAGGCACAAATTAAAATTTTAAATTTGAATTATTATCCTTGTTGGTTTAGGACTAGGTAAGAATCCGTAGTTTCATGTTGTGAATTATAACTGATGAGTCCAAACTGAAACCTAGGCCTATTGGCCTAGGATTAGGTTATTTGGAGATTAAGCCACCGCATAATGCTATTCCGCTAGGGTTTCAGAAACAGGTAACACCACCTCTATATAAAGAGGTGGTGTCTCTCTAATAATACACATCCTCTACCAACCTCTACATCTTGTACACACAATACGCATCGTTCTCTCTCTATTCTCTTTATTCCCTTATTGACTTAAGCATCAGAGAGTCTACCCTCGGGAGACACCCGAGGCTCTGTCTTGTAGGTTTTTGGCCGTCCGCCGCTGCCTAGATCATTATCGCTGCCCGTCCTAAGACACCGTGCAGATCCATGCTTCGTCAAGTGGCACGCCCAGTGGGACCGATTTGTTTGGTCTTCACAACCAAATAAATTTCTTAGCGAAGCACGAAATCTTTTGTATCTTTCGCAGCCACGATGTTATTCGTTGCTCCGATTTTTGATAGCAATCTCGTAGACGAAGCAAATTTCGTTAATGCAACCATCAACAAGAAGGTACGAAGATAATTTTGTCTATCCCGTGAAACTCAAAAGAGTGCGGAAAATTCACAGTAAGACGATCGTTTATCTAAGTGATTCTATCTCTTAACTCAAACCCAGCAAAGAACACATTATCCATGAAAGATTCAAATTAAACAACAACCCACACTAAGAATAGCAAGGACACCATTCAATATACTCGATCAGTCATTAATCAAGAGACTCAAGAAAGGCAGGAGCAAACAATGCCCAACTATGAAGGAATACTATTGATTAGTAATCTTCATAACCAACCAAAGATATGCAACACATACACTATCTCAAAATGCTTATGCCAAAGCACAACTCATCCAACAAAAGTAGGACAAACCCCACAATGGATCTCATGAACACACTCATCATGAAATTCGAACACCAAGCCAAAGGAAAGGCTCATCAATCGAACTACTAGAAGTAGTATGAAAATAAGAAGTTTAGTTTTAAAACAATTCTATCAAGAAACATACTTGAAAAGAATGGTTTCGCAAGATCAAAAGATCCAAGACAAGATGAAAACCCTCTTGGTTTAATCATACTTGACACGAAAAATGGACACTCCATTTAACAAAAATTCCTCACAGGAAAAACTCTCAAAAGAGACAACAAAAATGACCACTCAAGAGTGCTTCTAAAATTCGGCCAAGCCTCCTATATATAGGCTTGAATTTTTCGCCAGCACCACTAAAAGAAGACCAATTAGGACTCTCTAATCTTATCTCACAAGGAGTAAAAGTAGAAGAGTACTTGATCTCTTTGACTCTATCTAAAATCTAGGAAACCTTATCTAAATGACTTATCCTCAAGTAGGATAATATCTAGAAGGAATCTAAGACTCCTAATCAAAACACTCTAGCTTAATTCAGTCCACATGACTTATTTAACTAGATAAAATTCGAAAATAACTCCTAGACTTAGACAATGACTCTAATCTCGAAATTCAGCTCCAAATTATTGAAGTAAAATGTCTTGAACGCCCTTCCAAAAGTGGAATATTGGTATTGCGCCCCTCAAGTTGTAGAAACCTCCAATTTACTCCAAAACTTGTAGAATTCACCTTATTGACTCCAAAAGATTGGAAAAACACTTGAAACAATTAAGATAGTTTGCAACCTATCCAATTGTGTAGCAATGGACTCAATCTTGAACACTTTGATCAAATAGGCCGTCCACTCATGAACCTAAATGACCCTTCTCACTAGCTTTGATCAATGATCTTCATGGAGCACACAGAGTCAAACTCTCTTGATACTCTTCAGCACTTATTTCCATGAGGTCTTCATCTCCTTTGGTTTGCACCCCAAAGTTAATGACATTCTCATCACCTTGATCATAGCTCTCTTGAACCAACTCCCTATCACATAGGTAGTCAAGATCCATCCTTTCTTCCTTGATTGGCCTGCAAAGTAAACTTGGCATTCCAAATCTAGAATGAAGGACTAACTCATTCCCTCACTAGGAGAACCTCCATGGAAGGCTACATGATTCTCATCATCCCCTCCTTCTTTAAGAGGATTCGTCCTCGAATCATCAACCTCTATACCTGCACAAGGAACAAACGAGATATAAGGGTTAGTAAAATCCTCACCCTCACCACACTCTGATTTTCTCTCATTGCGTGCATTTATTTCTTTTTCCACGCTATTTTCATGGTTTTCTCTCGCCTCAAGTCTTACCTCATCGTGACCATTTTTACTTTCTTGCGTCACTCGCTCGACTTTTTCTCTCCCTTGTGTATAGGTTATCTTACGTCTTTTCTCTCGCACAGATTCAGATTCTTCATAAGCCAAAGGCTTAAGAATGTATTTTCTGTCCTCTTTAGTAAAGACAAAGATATTCTTCGAGCAATGGTGCACAGCATCTACATCTGACTGCCAAGGCCTACCTAGCAAAATATCACAAAGAGACATAGAAATTATATCAAAGTAAATTTCATCCCTATACTCACCAATATGAAAAGGTACCATGGCCTTTTTAGTAACATCCACAACCATCTCTTCACTCAACCATTGAAGCTTGTATGGTCTAGTATGCGGATCCATCTTAATTCCGTTTGCTATGCAGAATTCCTCACTTACACAATCTGTACTCGACCCACCGTCGATTACCAAATCAACTTCATTGGACCACCCAACCGAACACTTAGTACGGAAGATACAAGCCCGTTAATCTCCATCTTCAGCTCCAAACACCAACCCTTGATCCTCAATTGGACCATTCGAACCACAAGAAGCATCATGCTCTCTTTCCACTTCTAAGGCAGCATAGTATGCCTCATAGAGCCTTGATTGTCTCCTTATCTTTGGATGTTGTTTGAAACACTTGTCCAAGCCATAGTGGAAACGGTCTGTCAACATGTAGTCGTTCTCATCCACTTCTGAACTCAGAAACAACCCCTCTAATTCCTCAAAGTAAGATTGAATGGATCTACCATTCTGCTTACAATTGAGCAACTTCACTTTTGCTTCATCAAAGGTGTTAGTACTAGCATATCTTTCTCGCAAAGCACTTCTCAAATCATTCCAATCATCCAAATTACGATACCAATAATGCGAATAGATATTTGAAACTAGCTTCCACCAATTCAAAGAATTAGAACGAAAACAACCTATAGGTAAGGCTATTTTCTCACTCTCTTTCTCTATGTTAAGCAACACAAACAAATTCTCTATGCTCTTTTCCCAAGTATCATATTCTCTATGACAACCATAAAACAAAGGCAATGACACTTGCAACATTCCAGCATACGAGGGTACTTGTTTAACTTCAAAACGATCACAAAAGACTCTTAAATTTTCAGCAATTTTCTCAAAACTTACCATAGCTTTGTCTTGCTGATTTGAAAGCATTTGAGACAAGTCTCGGTTTGCCTCCTTAACCTCGGCCAAAGCATCATGTAGGAAGTCAATTTGACTCTTCATGAGCTGTACTTGAGCCTCCATGCGACCCTCTACACTCTTTGAAGCGATTTGAGTACAACCAGCAAATCCGGATGACATCTTTGCTCAACAATTCTAAGAATCCACCAACAAAAGAAGTAATGTGCCTTGTTTACTACACAAAAACTTCTTGAATCCTAGAACCAAAGTATGGTTCGGCCAAAACCCCCCAAAGAACCAAAGGAAGGTTCAAATAAAGCTCTCCCCAAAAACAAAAACTCTCTTGTGCTTTTAAGAACACAACTCTCAAAAATTTCAGAATTAAAGAGAAGAGTGCTTCTCTTGCTTTTCTCTTTTGATCTCGGCAGCAAGAAAGAAGAAGAAAATTGGAGTAGAGTGATGTGAGAATTTTCGAAAAACAGCACTCCTAGTTATAGGCAATGCAAGTCTTTTTGTGCAAGAAAACTCCTACAAGATAGGACCTAAATTTTCTCAAAAATATTCCCCCCCTAATTGATGAAGGCTGCTCGACAATGTGGAATAAAGAAGAAGAAAAACCGGCCTCATATGTATAGACAAGGATAGAGTCCTAAAACTTAGGTAAACATAATCCTTTTTGGACACAAATTAAGAAAACTCATCCCTACTTATTAGAGATAAAATTTTCGACTCCCCTACTACTAAAAGGACTCAAATACACGGCCACACACATGCACAAATGTATTAGAAGACTAAAAAATTTTCAGATTAGGATAATACTTCCTTATCTCAATAGTTTTCGAAAATAGACTCACTTTAAAACTCTAATTATAATCTCACTGAAATTATAATTTACACATGCAAAAATTAGTATTTAAATCCAAGTAGGACTTAAATAAAACACACAATAAAATTGTATTACAATTAGGAAACAATGGCTACAAATTTTTGGC